CTTGGACCCTGCAGGTCGTGTATTTTTGAGGCTGACAATTTTTCCCTTAGTCTGTTAGCAAGGTATTTGGTGGCTTTCTCACTATGGTGGTAAGAGGTTGCCTTCATTCTGTGTAGGACGTATGCGGTTTTTGCTGCTTGTAGTTCAGTGAGGTGGTCAGTTAATGTTTGGATTTGCTTCGCAAGGGTCTGGGATGGTGATATTTTATTTTTGGTAGTCAGGCCTGCCAGTTGTTTTTGGCATTCTAGAAGGGACTCTTGTCCCTGTTTTTGAGGTACGAGGAGCGTCTGATGAATAGACCTCTCACCACTGCTTTATGAGCTGACCACACTGTTGACTCGGCCATTACTCCCGTGGCGTTTGTGTGAAAGTAGTCTGTAAGGTCTGTCCTCATTTGGTCTACAAAAATTTGGTCATGCAGTAGGGATTCGTTCAATCTCCATGTCCCTTTGCCTTTAAATTGGAATGAGTCATATAGGACTAGGAACACTAGGCTGTGGTCGGACCAGGTAATGTTTCCCATGGTACATGTGGAGATTTGCGCTAATGCGGGTTGATCTACATAGTACGTGTCTATGCGGGTGTACGTGTTGTGCGCTCTTGAGTGGAAGGAGTAGTCTCTCTCCATCGGGTTAAGAACCCTCCAACTGTCGTATAGGTTATGTACCATGAGTAGTTTGGACAGGGTCTTACTCATGGACTGTATTGCAGCTTGTCTGTTCCCTTTCAGGAGCGCTGTTGTGTCCATGTCTGCCTTTCTATCTCTTGTAGTAATCTTCTAAGGTATTTCTCTGTACCAGTGTTGGGGAAGTACGCCGAGACTAATGTTTATTGGACATTATTAAACAGACTGATAAGTATGATAAATCGACCCTGTGGGTCAATAGAGATGTGTTGCATTTGGAACGCTATGTCTTTATGAATAAGTATGGAGACCCTTTTCGTCTTATTTTCCGAGAGGGCATGGAAGTGGGTCGGGAATGTTTTTGTAAAGATCTTCGGAGTGTTAGTGTTGTTAAAGTGCGTTTCTTTTATGCATGCAACGTCAATCCCATGCTTTTTGAGATCATGTAATAATAACCTACGTTTGCCGGGCAAATTCATTTGGGTGGTGTACCCGTACAGGCTCCCCTATTTGGAGCCACTTTGCACCAACCATTAGACAGGCGTGTCTGATGGGGGTAGTGGGGGTGAGTACTTCTCTCATTGAAGTTGCTCACCAAGAAACCTTCAGAGCAGTTGTAACATAAGCAAATAATTATAAAACAGAGTAACTTATAAGACAGATTAATTTAGCAAAGTGTTAAACATCAGAGTGCCAATTATATATGGTAAACAATAATTCTAGCTATATGATTGTTGCTGCAGAGGTGTGCTCGTCTATGTATATGTGTCCAAGGGTTATAGCCTGGGGTGCTAAACGGGCAAAGTCAGGATCTAACCAGCGGTTTTATGCTGCCAGTGGTTGAACATTGCGGTGGTCAGGCAAATTGTTATTTTAGGTCCTCTTAATGGTTGGGACGTAGGCAGTTGGACCATAATACTAAACACTGTCATATAAACATAACTTGTGTATTGTAGTTTTATATTTATGTGTAACTTAAAGGGATGTTGCAGTGTTACTGGCTTGTCCACTCCGTCGACATCCTGGAGACCTTGGCTGGTCTGGAGGGCGCTTGGGCTGGTACCTGGAACCCCCAGTCTTTGAGCTTTTGTATTCCGGTTTCCAGGTTCGTGATAGAGTGTAATGCCTCGTGATGAAAAACCAGGAGCTTGGCTGGGTAACCCCATCTGTATGTCAGGTTGTGATCTCTCAAGGTTGTAGTAACGGGTGTCAATGTCTTTCGGAAGTGTAGTGTGTCCGTCGACAGATCTGCAAAGATCTTAATAGATCTGTAGGTGTCCGGCATGTCTGCGTTCCTGCTAGCCCGTAGTATCTTCTCCTTAGCATGATAGAAATGGATCCTCGCGATGACATCTCTCGCCGCCGTTGCAGGTAGGTGTTTAGGCCTGCGCAATCTGTGGGCTCTATCTATGATTAGTTGATCCGGGTGTATTTCTGGCGTTAGGCATTAAAATAGGTCTGAGAGGTAGTTCTGCAGGTCGGCGTTCAGGATGGTCTCCGGTATGCCATGGAATCTTAGATTGTTCCTTCTGGACCTGTCTTCTATATCAGCCAGTTTGAGCCTGTGTGTCTCCAAAATGTCTTCAAATTCTTGAACTTTGTCTGCTAAGCTGTTATGTGCCATATTCATCCATTTTGGTTTCAATGTGGGCCATGCAGTTCCCTGTGTCCTGTATTTCTTTCTGGAGATCAGAGGACAGGTTTTGGATTTGTAGCTTGATGGTTTTTTGTATATTGTCAGAGAATTCTGACATAAATGCTCTCGTGCTCCCCATTGTTAGTGGTTGTTCGTCAGCATTATGGGCTGAGGATGCTTGGGGTGAGAGGGAGTGTTCCCGCGATCTTGTATCGCCACCATCTTGTGCATGTTCCTGATCCTCTTGCCATTTTAAGGCCGCGGTTTTCAGGAGGAAGAAGGATCCCCCTCTGGTTTTCTGTCGTTGGGACATTGTTACTGCTCTGTGCGCCGTTTATTTTTTTATCTTTTGGTTTCTCTGCCGGGAGCAGCTCTTACATGCGGCCACTCGGCTCCGACGCTAGACCACGCCCCAAATGGTGGTATTTTAACACTTTCCATGCACAAAGTCTACCACCAGTCTATGTCAAACTTTTGGGTAGTTATTGTTTTGTGTTATTTTTCTCTCACATTGTACTTTAGGCACGGCTTCTCAGTTCCTGTTATACGTTACTGACAAACAACAAGATGTGTTCAGCAACATCTCCTGAGTACAGTGATACCACCCATGTATAGGTTTGTTGTCGTTGTTTGGGGGACTGCAATGCCAAACTTCTGACATGTGTTTTTCAAATTTGACATATCTTCCTTGCCTATCTTCTTTTTGGGGGCCTTTTTAAAAAAAAAAAAGTGATATTGCTGCTTGGGATGTGGTGCCCTGGGGGTTCAGCAGATGTGAGAATGATGTCACTGATGTCTATAAAGCATTCTGCGAGACCACGGTAGCCTCCATAGATATTATCTCGCAATGATGGGAAGTGATGAAATGTGATGGATGTAGCTCCAACTTTTGTCAAGGTAGGATTTTGTCATAAGACAAAGTAGTCCCTACTTTTTCTTATGACATCTTTTGACTGTGTTAGAATTTAAATGAAATCTTAAAACAGTCTTTATAAGCATTTCATAAAGATTTAATCTTATAATATACTCAAATATTGTGATAGAACATTAACGTGACTCTTTCACCAGAAATAAATGTATCTAATCTGCTTCTAGATAGCTCTCTGCATCTGAATCTGTTTTTATTTATTTGTTTCGTGAGTTCTTTAGCTTTCATAAAATACATATCTGGAGAGTATAGACTATTTTTCTTACGTTTGGCAGTCAAGTTGATATTATGGGCATGGGAGAACAAAATGGCTGCTTCCAGATATTGAGGTCCAACTAGTGATGTCGCGAACCGTTTGCGAACTTCCCGCGAACGGCTCACCATGGTTCGCCACGGACCCTTCGCGGCGAGCTCCAGTCAGCTGACACATCCCGGCCAATCACCAGCAGACCCTCCCTCCTAGACCCTCCCACCTCCTGGACAGCATCCATGTTGAAGCTGCCTTCACATCACTAGGTCCAACACATGAAGAAACAATAATAAATATAAATAAAGCCAAGTGGAAAGTAGGGGAATATAATCTTACTGCGAGTAAGAAAAAACATGAAAGGTCCTCTTTACGTGTGATTTATTTCCTATTTTCTTAATGTGGTTTATCTAGCTCTTTCCATTGTAGATTATAGTGATAGATTTGGGTGTTACTATGTTCCAAAGCTCACTGTGCTAAAAATGTGCTATCTCGTGACCTTTCTGTGATAAGTTGTTTACGGCTGGGTTTGATGAAAATGAGAAATAAATGATTGATCCATCACAATTCACAGCAGACAAAAACTGCCACGCTTCAAAAAACAGAAAACCATACAAGACAGTTTATAAAATAGTTACATGGGGGGCGGAGCTTAACCACGGAGCCGAATGGACGCCATCATCCACGGCTCCCCGGCACCAAGACACAATCTGCCGCGCATCTCAGGTGGGGGGGCCATCGAACTGCGGGACCCACAGCCACAATCCCAGGGCTCACAGGGCTACCCACCGATGCCCTTTTTATACCCACAATCGGGCAAAAAACGAGTCCGCAAATCCCGGGCCTACCTCACTCTCCCGCCGGCATCGCAGCTACCCGTGGGGATCCCCCTGAGCCTGGAGGACTGGTGCGGACAGCGGGCAGGTCACCAATCACCCGACAACGATATGGGGAGGCGAACACAGAAGCCACAACAGGCAGCACCCAGGGACTCCCAAGATATTGGGACTCTGCTGCAACGCACAGCAGGCCACAAAATGGCGGCCGAACAAGACCAGGAACCTGGCCCCACACACTCAGTGCAGCTGTCCCAGGGAAGCAGCACAGACATGAGAGCTGAGGCTCCCAGCAGCCCACAAGCAGAGGGGGATGACTCAGCCCCAGCCACTAAAAGGGACATCAGACTCCTATTACAGGAGATGAAGGGGCTGTTTGACACCGACATAAACTTAATCCGCACAGAAACGCAGGCGGTGATGGCAAGAGTACAGGCCTCTGAAGAAGATATACTAGACCTCCGACAGGAGGTGAAAAGCATGGGGGACGCCCTGAAACATTTACAGACCGCGAACTCAGCGCTCCAAAACACGCTAGACGCCATGGAAGATCGCAACAGGCGCACACATATTAAGATTCGGGGTATCCCTGATGCAGTGGGACCATCCGAATTACCACAGTACCTGAGGAGACTCACGGCCACAATACTGCCACATACACAAGCCAAAAAGCTGGAATTTGACAGCCACTTCCGCATTAACAAAGCAAAAAGGGCACCCACAACGGCCCCAAGGGACGTCATCGTCCGCTGCCATTCCATGACAGACAAACGCCGCATACTAGCAGCAGTGAGAGACAAGACACCCTTGGCCTTCGAAGCCTCACAACTTACCTTCTTCCAAGATATCACGCGGAGCACCCTACTCTGGAGAAAGTCCTTGAGCAACATAACGGAACAACTGCAGAAGGGGAACGTAGAATACAGATGGCTGTTGCCAAGAACCCTGGTGGTATTCAGCGGAGAAGAGGTTCTAAAACTCACCTCACTCTCGGAGGCCCCAGCGCTTCTCCAAAAATTGGGACTAACTCAGAACGCCCCAACACCAGGACCAACGCAAGCCACCCACTCATGGGACCCGGACAGAATAGTACCATACGTCCCTAGGAGCAACAAGAGACCGGAGGCAGAGACCTGAACACCTTAAACTGTTTACCTCTTAATTTTATTTCAATGCTCTGATATTCTCTCCTCTTCTCTCATCTCACCCTATTGCTCTACCAAAATACGATATTTTACTATTAACTCCCCATACAAAGTTGGAGACGATCTCCCAACCCCCGCGACCCTCTTAGGTTAAGGGCCAACACTACCTACTAACCCAAGCATAGCAAGCGCGACACAAAACCCACACTCAGGCACAGACAGACGCACATATACAATTTTCACCAACGACGAACAACAGCACTTTACAATCACGAACACCCTCCCTCAAACAACAGAGAGGAGTGCCACTTAACCACTCACAGGACCCAAGCAACATAGACACAATCACTCACAACCAGTTCACCCTATGGGAACCTACCGCATGGGCACACTCGACACATTAGAAAACCAGAAAAAGTGCAGAAACATGACCACAAGTTCTTCCTGACTACTAGGACGCAAGCTTATCCCTCCGACCATAGAACAAAATGACTCATACTATATACTTGCTGCCAATCCTATGCTCCTGATATGTTATAAGTGTAAATTGTATAGACTGATCCAGACCCTTGGCAAAACAATTGTTATTTACTAATATGCCTATGTTGAAAAGGCAGCTCAAGTATGTTATGCTTTGTCACATGTCTCAATGCACAGAAAATAAAGAATTAAAAAAAAAAAAAATAGTTACATAATTTTTTAGGCAAAAAATTACTCAATTGCAATTTAAGTTTAGGCTTTCAACAATGAAAAATTAAATTATGTACAATTAAAATTTACAAATGTTAAGTTAAGTGTAGAAATATTTTGATATAGAATTTAAAGGGTTAATCCGACAAAAAACTGATTTAATAAAACATTGTTTTTGGTTATAGTAATCGTTCTTATAATTCCCCCTCTCACCCCCCACCTCCAAAGCTAATAAAAAATTTAAAAAAAGCTAAAGCTCCTCTGTTCTCCGAGTCCAATCTTCTTCCTCTGATGTCTCTGTTCTTACTGCAGGTGAATGAAAACCAGGGATGGAGGGCTCAGTGGAGGACCAGGACTGGCATGGAGAGAAGACCGTGCCATCATTGGACACCTGTCACCAGTATGCTGTGTGCACTGACGACAGATGTCCAATATGCACAGAATTGATATTAGCCACCTGGAACTCTTGATCCAAGCTGGCTAATGACATCCCAAAGACACTGTGGAAGGTGGAATTACACCTTTATCAGCAAATGGCTAAACACTGTATGTGCAGCATTGTATCACAATAAACTGCCCATAAAGACACCATGACCACTTTAAATAGAATTATATTTTCAATGTAAAATATAGGTATCAGCATTGATAATCTAACTGATAACTATAGCATTCCAATAAGACTTCATTTAACAGAGTTAATTTTATTGATCCAAATGCTCTAGTACAAAACAATAGAGTACTACTGTTAAAAGCCTCTTGACCTGAATAAGATGTCAATAAAATGAATAATAAGAAAATATATCTCCGGGGCTAAGTCTCATGGGCAGTGTCCGCCTTACCTTTTGTAACTGATCTGTTGATTTGTACTGTCTTTTTCCCAAGTATACAGCACTGCAAATATATTGGTGTTTTATAAATGCCAATAAAAAAAAAAAAAAAATAAATAAATAAAAAATGTAATCTATATAATGCGCTATGTTTGGGATTGCTGAAAATGGTATAAACTGTTTGGGCTAAATACATGCTACATACATAATAATATAAGAACCATTATAGCAATAACTCTTTAAAGGACCACTGTAGGCACCCTGATCACTTCAGCTTAATGAAGTGGTCTGGGTGCCAGGTCCTTCTAGGGTTAACCCATTTTTTCATAAACATAGCAGTTTCAGAGAAACTGCTATGTTTATGAATGGGTTAAGCCTTCCCCCTAATCCTCTAGCGGCTGTCTCATTGACAGCCACTAGAGGCGCTTGCGTGCTTCTCACTGTGATTTTCACAGTGAGAGCACGCCAGCGTCCATAGGAAAGCATTGAGAATGCTTTCCTATGTGACCGGCTGAATGCGCGCGCAGCTCTTGCCGCGCGTGCGCATTCAGCCGACGGGGCGGATCGGAGGAGGAGAGGAGGCAGAGAGCTCTCCGCCCAGCACTGGAAAAAGGTAAGTTTAACCCCTTCCTCTCCCCAGAGCCCGGCGGGAGGGGGACCCTGAGGGTGGGGGCACCCTCAGGGCACTATAGTGCCAGGAAAAGTGGTCCTTTAAATAAAAAAAAAAGACTGGCACAACGAAGGTCATTTCCATAATCAACAAGTAGTTGATTAAAGGTTCACTTACATGTTAAAGGGACACCAAAACAACTGTAGCTTAGTGAAGCAGTTTTGGTGTATACCTAATGCCCCTGTAGTCTCGCTGCTCAGTTATCTGCCATTTAAGAGTTAAATCACTTATCTTATACCCTCATCTCTTAATAGCATATCTCACAAGTATTTCTATTTAAAAAGGACAGTCCATATTCTGGGCGCAATCCCTCTTTTCAGTCCTGATGTCCTTGTTTAAAGAATATACATTTTTCTTATTGTAAATTACAATTTAGTTGCATACATATTTATTAGTAAGTCACCTAAAGTGTAACAGAACAGCCCAGCCCTGGCCACATCCCCACTCATTAATAAAATGGAAGTGTCCCTCGTTGTCCATTTAAAAAATGTTGGAAAGTATGTGAAAGCCTGCTAGAGCATGCAATAGTCTCAGGGCTATGATTAACCCCTTCAGGACCGGCCTGTTTTTGCGATGTTGAACGTTAAGGACCAGGACTGTTTTAACACTTTTGTGGTGTTTGTGTTTAGCTGTAATTTTCCTCTCTCATTTACTGTTCCCATACAAGTTATATATTGGGTTTTTTTCAGGACAAGAAGGGCTTTCTGTACATACCATTATTTGTATCATGTCATATAATTTACTTTAAAAATAATACTAAAATATGGTGAAAAATTGAAAAGAAACCATGTTTTTTTACTTTTACTTGAAAAATCTTTTACTTACCTACAAAAGCTAATGAAAACAACTGCTAAATAGATTCAAAATTTTGTCCTGAGTTTAAAAACACCCAGTGTTTACATGCTTTTTTGCTTCTTTTTTTTTGCAAGTTATAGGGCTATAAGTACAAATAGGAAATTGCTGTTTCAAAATAAATATTTTTAAAATGTATCAATAGTGACATTGTAACACTATTATCTGTCATAAATCTTTGAATTACACATCACCTGTACATATTTTTTTAAAGTAGACAACCCTGGGTATTCAATATGGGGTATGTTCAGTCTTTTTTAGTAGCCACTTAGTCACAAACACTGGCCAAAGTTAGCGTTCATATTTGTTTGTGTGTGAAAAAAGTTAAATAACTAAATCGAACGCTAATTTTACCCAGTGTTTGTGACTAAGTGGCTACTAAAAAGACTGGACACACCCCATTTGCAATACCTTGGATTGTTTTCTTTTGCAAATGGTATGCCATCATGGGGGTAATTCTCATTCCTGGGCTACCATAAGCTCTCAAAGGCAACGTAACCAACCTGGCAATTTTCAATGTAAAAATATTTGACCCATATATTTGACCCTGTAACTTTCAAAACACTATAAAACCTGTACATGGGGGGTACTGTTATACTCAGGAGACATTGCTGAACACAAATATTAGTGTTTCAAAACAGTAAAACATATCACAACAATTATATCATCAGTAAAAGTGCTGTTTGTGTATGAAAAATGCAAAAAAAGTCACTTTCACTGACAATATCATCGCTGTGATATGTTTTACTGTTTTGAATCACTAATATTTGTGTTCAGTGAAGTCTCCCGAGTAAAACAGTACCCCCCATGTACAGGTTTTAGGGTGTCGTAGAACGTTACAGGGTAAAATACAGTGTTAGCAAATTAAATTCTCTAGACTTTCGGCTTGGGTTGTCAGGCAGGTCCCTCAAATTGCAATCAATAAAATTACTTAATTATGTAAAAATATTACATAAATACACACGTAGAATTTAAATATATATGCATATTTATATATTTGAAGTCTACGTTTATATTTATATAATTATTTATGTAATTTTGTATATGGACATATGTATATTTCGTATTATTTTTATTTATTTATATATACATAAATATATATACAATTTCATTCTAAGTGTATTAATATTAAAATACAGTTAGAATAAAATTTCGTATAGATATATGTTTTTTATTTTTATTATTATTTTTACATTTTTTAATTTAATTTAATTCACTTATTATTTGTATTTTTTAATAAAATATACAATATATAGTTATTATATATATTATATATATATATATACGTGTGTAATTTAATTATGACATTATATATATATACGATCATATATATATATATATATATATATATATAAATATATATATATATATATATATATATATATATTTATATATACACATATTATTATTATTATTGCCATTTATATAGCGCCAACAGATTCCGTAGCGCTTTACAATATTTTGAGAGGGGGGATGTAACAATAAATAGGACTATTACAAGAAAACTTACAGGAACAATAGGTTGAAGAGGACCCTGCTCAAACGAGCTTACAGACAATAGGAGGTGGGGTATTAGAAACATTAGGACAGGAAATATCAAGTAGATAATTATATATTTTTATTAACTTTAACATTTTTATTTTTTTTTATTTTACACATGCAGGCAGACATTAGGACACCTATTGTGACCATGTGACCGCTCTATTGAGCGATCACATGATCCCCGGCAGGGGCGGGCTGGGCCGGGGGGCAAGGAGGCAATTGCCCCCAGGCCGCCCTAAATTCTTTTAAGACCAGCCGCTGCAGGGTCGGTCCTAATGCTGCAGCCGCCTGAGCGCTCTGTTAAGAGCCTCTG